GACCGCGTATCCAGCTACTCTACTGAGTCTGTCAATTAAGTCTAGAAGTCTTTTGGTAGAGTTTTGGGGTCTTCTATATAAAGTATCATATCATCAGCAAATAATGACAGTTTAACTTCTTCCTTTCCTATCTTTATTCCTTTTATTTCTTTCTCTTTTCTCATTGCTGTAGCTAGTGTTTCCAGAACTATATTGAACAGAAGAGGTGATAGAGGGCTTCTTGGACAATATTATCTCATAAAAAAACAGGCTGCTATATAACTGAAATATAAGAAAATACTTGAATATTAAAAATATTGCCAAAATAAAAAATGCAACAAGTGGCAGAAAAACATAATCAACAGAGGTGAATATCTTTTTATGTATATGTTATGAAGAAAATAAAAATCAAGTCATCTCTTATGACCTCTTCTTCTCCTTTGAGGTCTATCAAATCAGGACTGGGGAGGTTCGCAAAATTTATCTCACTTGAAAATTTCCCTTCTGCACTTTTATCCTCAAACATCCTTGCCTCAGTTTATATTTGTGCTGTTTTGCTGCATTTACTTGAGCTATTCCTTTCCATGGCCACAGTCTGGGTTTTGCTTTTAATTAGGAAAATAAAATAGAATTATTCCCATCTCTGATCTTTGTAGCTTTCTCACTCTGTTCCTCAACTCCTTCACCTGTTCTGTGATCTCATAATTAATCTCTTTACATATCACTTCTCTTTCCTTCCCTCCCTTCTCTCTTCAATGTAGATTGTGTTCATTATTTTAACTATTCTCTTCCAAAAAATTTCAGTTGTTTTGCTTCTTTGTCCTCCCAAACCAACCTGCAGCCAAATTCCAACTACGAATCAAGCCAACTCTCTTATGTTCATCACTACCGTAGGTTACTGAAAAAATTAATACATTCAAAAACTTCTGCTTCTACCAAGATGGAATTAAAGGGACTATATTTACCCCTTTGCTTGAAATAACCAAAATAAACCGGATAAAATACATGAAGCAACAATTTTCAAGAAACAACATAAAAAATACAGAGTTGAATACCTAGGAGGTTCTTGCTTCCATAATGGGTAACAATTATCCTACACTGAACTGCTTCAGACTTGAAATCTTAAAAGACCTATAAGAATCAAATAGTGGGCCAGGGATTTAGCTCAGTGGTGCCACCGCTTGCCTCACAAGCACAAGGTCCTGAGTTCAATCCCAGATACCAAAAAAAAAAAAAAAAGAATCAAATAGTTTTCAAGTTACTTATATGTATAACACAGAACAAACAGAAGAAATTATTTGTGAACTATAAGACACAGAAACTATCCAATAGAAAATATATTTTTAAAAGGTTTTTAAAAATTTTAATGAAAAGGCCATCTTTGAGCTGTGGGATAACATATGGGTAAGTGGAGTTACCAGAGGAAAGGAAGAGTAATAGAAAAGACATTTTAAGAAATAGGTACTGAAAAATTCCTAAACTTGACTATTACTAAAAATACCACAGCTTCTAGTACCTTAAAAAACTGAAGCACAAAAAAATGAAGAAAATTACACCAAGATACATAATAATCAAATTACTCAAAATTGCTGAAAAATAAGTAGACAGAATAAACACATGTTGTATATAGGAACAAGGATAAGGATGATTATAAATTTGTCGTAAGCAATGCAAACAAGAAAAACTTAGGGCAATATTTTTTAAGTATTAAAAGAAAAAAGCTAAAAAAGCTAAAAGCTAAGAAGTCTAACAAAACTATCAGAACTGAAGTCAAGAATAAAAGTGTTTTAGCTGGGGATTTAGCTCAGTGGTTCCGCCGCCTGCCTCACAAGCACAAGGTCCCGAGTTCAATCCCTGGTACCAGGGGAAAAAAAAGAATCAAACTGTTTTAATCAGAAAAAGCACAGTGAACTAATACCTAGTAGACTCAAACTAAGAAATGTTAAATAAAGGAAGTCCCTTAGGCAGAGCAAAAAATAATACTAGATGTAAATCTGAATCTATACAAAGGAAAAAGGGCACTGGAAACATGATTACTGAGATACACAATTATTTTTTCATATTCAAATAACAGCAATGTTTTATGGGGTTTATTACATTTTAAAAGTAAAACTATTTATTCACAGATTATATGATTTTATATGTAGCAAACTCCAAAGATTCCATAAGAAAACTGCTAAAAGAGTAACAGAAAAGACATTTTAAGAAATAGGTGCTGAAAAATTTTAAGAAATGGGTGATGAATAAATTCATCAACATATCATGCTACAAAGTTAACAAACAAAAATTAGTTGCATTTCCACATACTAACGATGAACGAAGTGGAAAGGAATTACAAAAATAATTCCATTTATAATAGCACCAAAATTAATATTGAGGAATTACCAAAGAAGTAAAAGACTTTTCAATTCAAACTAAAAAACACTGCTGAAATTCAGTAAGACATAAATAAATGGAAACACATCCCATGTTCATTGATTGAAAGGCTTAATATTGTTAAAATGTCATTACTACCCAAAGTGATATAAGGATTCAATGAAGTTCCTATCAAATCCCAATGGTGTTTTTGTAGAAATATAAAACCCATCTTAAAATTCATACAGAATCTCAATGGATCCCAAATAGCAAAAACAATCTTGAAAAGAAGAACAAAGCTAAAAGACTCAACTCTCTGATTTCAAAGCATACTACAAAGCTAAGTAATCAATATGATACTATATAAAGACAGACATAAATGGAATAGAATGGAAATAAGCCTTATATATATGTTCAAATGATTTTTTACAAGATCCAAGTGTACTCAAGGGAGAAAAGATATTCTCTTTAATAAGTGGTACTAATAAAACTGTATATTCACATATAAAGGAGTGAAGTTAGACCCTTACCTAACATCATAGACAAAAATTAACTCAGAATGGTTTAGAGACCTAAGTGTAAGGCCTAAAAGAAGAAAATCCTTTCAGAAAAATGGAGAAAGCTTCGTGACATTTGATTTAGCAGTAATTTTTCACATAAAATACTCAAGGCATAGGCTACAAATTTTAAATTAGACTTCATGAAAATTTAAAAATTTTGTGCATCAATAGGCCCTATCAACAGAGTAAAAAGGCAATGTATAGAACTAAAGAAAATATTAATAAATCATATACCTAATAAGAGATTCTTCTTCACACACATGTAATGCTGTTAGCTTCAACTGAGTTCCAGATTTCACAAAGTATCTTATATGTAAAGTATCTAATAAAACAACAATCATTTCTTTCAGTAATTGAAGGAAAAATTAAAAATGCTACCTCATGTGAAGAATTTTCTTGCAAACCTGATACAGGAACAATTTCATCTGTATTAGCATAACTGCTGACATTTGGAAGTAACTCTTCACAAGATGCTTTTTGCACTGAGGACAAATCAATCTATAAAAGAATATATTACTGTTTGGTGGGAGTTTCAAAAACAACTCAGTAATTAAAGTTGAAAATACTGTCTCACTGAAAGCATATTCTTGTGAACTTGACGCATGAGCAATTTCATCTAAATGAATATAATGACAGACATAGGCCGGGGATGTAGCTCAGCGGCGCAGTGCCTGCCTGCTGGCAGGTGCAAGGCCCCGAGTTTGATTCCTGGTGCCAAAAAAAAAAAAAGACCAAAAAAATATATGAAGATAATTCTTCCAAAGATACTTTTCATCTTTGGTTAACTGCAACTATGCTTCCCTAGGGACCTGGTAAAGACAAAAATGTTAATTCTGTTACTCAGTAACACTGTTTATGGTAAAATGATATCTGAGTAGAAAACTTGTCTCTGGGACAAACTTAAATGCAGTACAAATAAATTAATGAATAAATAAGTACTATAAAAGATGTCACATTTGGGTTCCCTGGAAGCAGGAACCCTTGCAATCAGGCATGTCTGTTGAGCCCTGAGAAGCTGAGCATTATGTGCTGTTACAAAAGACACTGCATCTCACTCCCTTGCGCCTGGGCTGTCTACTTAATGCTATGTAAGCTGCTGATGACTTCTGTTAGGGTTGCTACCACTGAGGACAAACACCTGCTGCTACCCTGCTAGTAAGATGTATTCGTGTTGTTCAGCTGAACCCAAGAAGAACTAGTTGGGTAAGAACTTAATAAAACCCTCAGAAGTAATTATAAAGACTTCACAGCATTGGATTTGGCAATGATTTCTTGGATATGATACCAAAGACAAGGAGATTTGAACTACATCAAATGAGAAACATCTGTATAACAAAGAATCCTGTGACAGTGAAAAAGCAACCTATGGAATGGGAGAAAATATTTGCAAACCATGTATCTAATAATACGGTTAATATCCAGAATGTACCAAAAACTAGAACTGAACAACAACAAAAACAGCCTAATTCAAAAGTGAGCAAAGAAGACGAGCATGGTGGCACACACACCTGTAATCCTAGCAGTTGAGAGGCTGAGGCAGGAGGACTGTTCCAAGTTGGAGGCCAGTCCGGGCTACATAGTAAGTTTAAGGTCAGCCTCAACTACAAAGGGAGACTATGTCTCAAAAAAAAAAAAAAAAAAAACTGAGCAAAGGACCTGAATAGGCACTTATCTAAAAAATATATACAAATGGCCAACAACACATGAAAAGATGCTCAATATTACTAATCATTAGAGAAGTACAAATCAAAATCATGAGATACCACCTCACACCCATGAGGATAGCTATTCAAAAGACAGAAAATAGGGCTGGGGATTTATCTCAGTGGTTTCTCCGCCTGCTGTGCAAAACCGCAAAGACCTGAGTTCGATCCCCAGTACCAAAAAACCAAAAAAACAAAAAACAGAAAATAACAAGTATGGGGAGATGTGGAAAGAAACTGGAACCTTGTGCATCACTAATGAGATTGTAAAATGATGCAGCCTCCAATGAAAACAGGTGACAGTCCTCAAAAAATTAAAAATGGGGTCACCATATGATCCAGAAATTCCACTTCTGGACGTATACTCCCAAGGAATTGAAAACAAGAGATTCAGATATTTGTACATTCATGTTCACTGCAGCATTATTAACAATAGCCAAATGTGGAAACAACTCAAGTGTCTATGGATGGATGGATGGATAAATAGATAAATAAATAAATATGGTATACACATACAATGGAATATTACTCAGCCTTAGAAAGGGAGGAATTTCTGACACATGCTGCCACATAGCTGGACCTGAAGACATTATGCTAAGTGAAGCAAGTCTTCTGCAAAAGAATAAATACCGCCAAGCAGGATGGTATGCACCTGTAGTCTTAGCTTCTCAGGAGGCTATGGCCAGAGAATCACTTGAGCCCCAAAGTTCACAGCCAACCTAAGCAACATAGTGAGACCCTATCTCAAAAAATTAACAAACAAGACAAGTACTGATGATTCCACCTATTCCATGAAGTACCTAGAATAGTCAAATTTATAAAGACAGAAAGAAGAATGGTAACTGCCAGAGGCAGGGAGAGGAAAGAATAGGGGGTTACTGTTTCACTGGTGTGGAGTTTCAGTTTTGCAAGATGAAAAAACTTCTAGAGATAAATGGTGGTGGTGATTACACCACAACTGCGAATGTACTCAAACTGTGCATTTAAACATGGCTGAAAGTCTAACTTTTATGTTATATATATTTTATAATACAAAAGAACCTACTTGGTGTTTCACTGTTCTCTTCATACCCACTTACAGGAATAGCAGCATATAGGGTACTTCTAATGAAAGTATGTGCAACAGGAAAATACAGGTAATATTCCCCTGGTATGAGAAAATTACAAGAACGGAGACAGAAGGAGCCAAAAATACCAAAGGTGCCAAATGCTAATACTTACCACAAAACCAGCTGTCTCTGAAGATGGAGTACTTGTTACCAGGCCTCCACTTCTCTTATTAGGAATATGAGAATTTGTTTTCTATAAATTATAAAATAGGAGATTAAATAGCAGAAAGAAACAAAGTATTATAACAGAAAAACCACAATTTAAAGTTAGTAGACTAAATCATGTGTAATACTAAAAAAAATCTTTAATCTGCTTGAAGGAAACTAAAGAATTTCTGGCTTGAGGTAAATCAGTCAACTCTCAAGAGAACTCTATGGTGCAAACAACTGTATGAGAATATTTTGGTAAAATAACTAGTAATTTGGAAAGAGAAGCTAATCAGAGTGTTGAACTGGACAATGGTGTTTTGGTCATCTTTGTTAATTGTTTAAAAAAGGCATTTTGCTTTCGGCTTTTAATTTCTAGTATATTATTTTACTTTTTATGGAAAGGGATTATAAATTATTCCTCAGACTGTTAAAACATGTATGTAGCAAGGATAATTGTGTTAAAATATATGTTTATATCTATAGGAATACTTTTATTCAGGGAAGAGGATGCAGGCATTTCCTCTCTCTTTTTTTTTTTTGGTACCAGGGATCAAACTTGGGACTCTCCTTGCGAGGCAGGCGGCAGAACCACTGAGCTAAATCCCTGGCCTAGATGCAGACATTTTCTTTCTTGAAGATGCAAAGAAGCAGTCAGAGAGACAAGTGAGCAACACAAGAAAGATTAAAGACAACAAGGAAAGATACAAGATTCAAGAGTTAAGAATGACAGAGGAAAGGGAGGATCAGACTGCCAGAGAGGAGGAGGGTGATAAGGAGGGAAGGTGAGAAAAGGAAAGAAGAGGGAGACAGAGGGAGGGAGATAGAGGAACTAGAAGTAAAAGATAGAGGAAGAGAGAAGAGAAGATTGAAAGAGGAAGGGAGAGGAGAGAGAAGACACACCAATAGACTGCGAGCAGGAGACTGAGAGACAGAGAAACTGAAGAAAGAAAGTAAGAGAGAGAGAGAGAGAGGAGATAGCAAGAAAGACTTGGGGAGCAGAGAGACACTTGATATTAACAGCTTGATAGTAAAAGAGACAAAACCCAGGACAGCATAAAGAAACCGGTAAAAGACAGAATAGAAAGAAAGAGTAAAAGGGAGACTCTGACTCTGAGAGAGAGTCAGGCAGCTTTATTTCTACAAATCAGCTGTCTTTCCAACCCTTGGATTCTTTGAAACAACTATGTCTTTGTGATAACATTCTTTTTGAAAAGGCATTTATTATACCATGGGAAATCTGGAACCCAAACTCAAAGATAAAACTTGAACATCATAGGAAACTTTGTCAGGTTTCTTATTTTCTTTCCCTCTTTTGTCTTTCTTCTTTTAAACTCTTGTTCTCTTGTTAAACTAGTTGTTGGCAGAACATAGAACAGATGATTAGAAAAATTTTTATCAAAACATTTAAGGTTATATTTATCTGGTACATGGAATATGTCAGTTCCTAATTGCTTAGCTACATAATCTTTTACTTTCTTCATCCTAACAATGGGGATCATTTTACCCCTAGGGATTAGTGAGCAAGGATTACAAATAATACATGTAAATAACTCATTTCCTTCTTTTTTTTTTTTTTTTTTGGTTTGGTACCAGGGATCGAACTCAGGACCTTGGGCTTGCGAAGCTGGCGCCAGAACTACTGAGCTAAATCCTCAGCCCAATAATACATGTAAATAGAACCTATGGTGTCTGGAGGGGAGGAGAGGCTTGATGACAGCTGTTATTATCATCACTGCGGCAGTCTTGGAGGCGCGCACTCTACTCAGATCCCCTTACACAAAGAAACTGGTGCTTGTTGCAAGGAGTACAGTTAGCTGAAACTACCCACCTGGAACATCTTTAAGGTCTGCTTCAGCTTTCAAGCTTTCTTTAGGATCTGCCCATCTTCTCAGGCAGGCTCCGGCCAATGTCCACCACAGTAGTACAATACAGACTTTTGTGATGAATAGTCTTTGCTCTAGAACTCCTCATTAGAAGAGCTTCTGTTAGATTTGCACTGAGCACTGAGGCTAAACCTGCTCAGTCCTGCTTTCTCTTTGCTTTTTTTCCTCAGGTGTTATCCCTCCACTAACCCATATGAACCCTTAATCTGTCTCAATAACTCCTTGCCAGTGGTCCCAGTGACCCAACAGTCAGTTCAATTTTTAAAATATCCCAAATTTAAAAAGAGCAAAGTAAAATACAGGTAAGAGGAAGTAAGGAGGTACATTTTTTTTAAATGAGAAGGGATTAAGAGGAACGACAGGGAAAGGAGATGAAAAGAGAACTAAGATGTGTTATGTATATGTACTTAGTACAAAGAATGTAAACATTACGTACTGCAAACAGGTACTAATAAAACTCTAAAATAAAAGTAAATAAATAAGAACTATCAGTCTGTATATAGCTATAAGTATAAAGCTCCCCTATATTTTTCCTAGATTTGTTTAAAAATGTGCATTTCTAAATCTTCCCAATCGGTACATTTTTATAGTCTCTTCAAGAATTAAGAGTTAATAAATGCTGAGTGCTCACCAAGGCAGGTGCCAGGGGCTGAGGCAGCAGAACTCCAGTAACTGAGCTAGGTGCACTGCTTTCAAGAGCAAGCCTGTGGTGGGATGACACAGTGTCGATTTGTGCATGATGATTTAACTTTGTCTGAATATTTGTAGCTCTATCTTCTGAATCTTTTTCAGGCTGGAACAAATTCACAATCATGAAATACATTTCACAGTGCTGTAAAATCATTTCTATTGAAAAATATTAAACTCAAAGGTGAATGATTTCCTAGGAAAAAATAATATGTTCTATACTATATATGTACGGGGACATCACAGCAAATTTTTAGAAAAAATGCTTTATGGGGGTGTGTGACGTCCACGCTTATTTTTTAGGAGTATTTCTATTGATAAATTATTAATTTTAATTTTATGAGTTTTATTATACTAAACAATGTGTACCTAATAGGAAAATAAACTATCAATAAAATAAAATATTAAATATTTAATATGTAATGGGTGTGTAGAATAAACATCAACATTTTCAACATCAACTGTTTACCTGCTTACAAGATCTAAAATGTAACAGCAGAAGTAAATTCCTATGTGAATGACAATGAAAATACAAACAAGGAAAAAAATTTTTTAAAAATAATAAAATACAAACAAGGGCCAGGGATTTAGCTCAGGGGTGCCACCGCCTGCCTTGCAAGCAGAAAGTCCTGAGTTTGATCCCTGGTACCAAAAAACGGCCCCCCACACACAAAAGAAAATACAAACAAAACGCTATCACAGAGATAATTTTGCTTCAGTTATCACACCCACAGCGATCTTCACACAAGACAGCAGCATGGTCCATACACAAGTCTTGCTCACACTGACAGCATGTGTGCTTCGCTTTCCTTTTCCGTTTGCCAGTCACGCTTGTCACCACTCGTCTTCCTCTTTTGTCAAAGGTTTCCCATTATATTGCCCACTTAGCAGGAAAATGAAATATCAATAAAATATCAAATATATACTGAGTGTTTAGAATAAACATCAACATTTTCTACATCAACTGTTTGCTTACTAAATCTAAAAAATAACACATAAGTTCCTACATGAACTACAATGAAAATACAAAGAAAACTCTACCACAAAAATAATCTTTACTTCAATTATCACACCGAAGTCTTCACACGTGAGAGCAGTGTGTTCCATACACAAGTCTCACTTACGCTGAGAGCACAGGTGCTGTTTTCCTGTCTTCTTTGGAAGGACACACTTGCCACTGTTGGCTTAGGGGGTTCTTGTGCTGTTTCACCTGTCTGTTCAACGGTCTACTCTAGAATTGTTTTTTATTAAGTTTATTGGTACATTTTAGGTATACAACACAGTTACATTCACCATTGGGAACTTGTGCCTTTTACATGATATATCTTGGTTCTTATTTTACCCCTTTCCCCTGCCCTTCCTTCAACTCCTCCACCCCTCCCTATTTACAAAGACTTTGTTAGCATTTTTTCCTTTTCTCATATTTTTTCCTTTCCCTTCTTTCCTTTCCCCTACCCCTTTAGACCTTTTCTTCCTATTTCACATTATCAGTTATACATTTTGATCCTTATTTACACTTTCAGTTTCTCACACCAGAGAAACTATTTGGTATTTACACGTGTGTCCTATTTATTTCACTGAAGAGGATGGCCTCAATGTACATCCATTTAGCCATAAATGTCTCTAGTTTCTCATTCTTTATGGCTGAGTAGTACTCCATTTTATAAAAAAAGAAAATCTTCTTTATCCAGTCTCCAGTTGATGGGCACTTGAGCTGCTTCCAAGCTTTAGCTATTACAAACTGTGCCGCTACAGACATGGGTGTGCTGTGGTATGATTCTTTTAATTCTTTTGGGAAGATACCCAGCAGAGGAATAGCTGGGTCAAATGAGACCTCTAATCCTAGTTTTCTTAGGTATCTCCATACTGATTTCCACAGTGGTTGCACCAGTCTGCACTCCCACCAACAATGGAGAAGGGTTCCTCTTTCCCCACAACCCCCCCCCTCCCCCCAGCAAGTTA